CCCGTGCCCCCCGTGCCCCCGCAGTGTCCCCGCGCCCCCCGCGCCCCCACCCTGCGCCTGCAGCCTGGCCAGCTCCTCCCCGAGCGCGTCGTGCGCCTCCTCCAGGTGCCGCTTGCGCAGCTCCAGGCTCTGCGCGTACTCGGTCAGCGAGCGGATCTTCGCCTCGTGCTGCAGCGGCACCGGCACCGGCCTCAGCCCGGGGGGCACCGGCACCATCCCCCCGGCACCCGCGGGGGCACCGCCCTGGCAACCCCCAACCCGGGACCACCCCCAGGTGCCCCCGACACCCCCAGGGGCACCTGACCCCGACACCCGCGGGAAAGTCCCCCCAGCACCCCCAGGGCCACCCCCAGGTGCCCCCCAGAACCCCCAGGGCCACCCCCAGGTGCCCCCCAGCACACCAAGCCCCCACCCCAGGGCAGTCAAACCCCCAGGGTCACCAAACCCTTGGAGCCACCAAACTCCAGGCCCCCTGAACCCCAGTGCCACCAAACCCTTGGACCAGTAAAATGTGGTGGCACCAAACCCAGGGCTGAGAAATCCAGGGCCACCAAACCCCAGGGAAACCAAACCCTGGGGCCACCAAAACCTGGGTCACAGAATCTCTCAGGCCACCAAATTCTGGGACACCAAAGCGTTCAGCTGCCAAATCTTGGAGCCACCAAACCATGGTGGCACCAAATCCCAGGGACACAAAACCCTGAGCTACCAAACCCCGGAGCCACTAAATCTTGGGCCACCAAACCCTGGGTCACAGAACCCCTGGCCACCAAACTCTGGGGCCACCAAAGCCTGGTGCCACCAAATCCCAGGGACACAAAACTGAGCCCCCAGACCCCGAAGCCGCTAAACCCTGTGCCAGCAGAGCCCGGGTGCCCCGGCAGGCGCTGCCCGCCTGGCACACCTGGGAGATGAGGAGCTGGCAGGAGGACAGCTCGCGGCCCGTCACCTCCAGCTTGCGGTGGCACTCCACCTGCAGGCTCTCCAGCTGCCGGCAGCGCTTCACCACCGACTTCACCTCCGACTTGATCTTGCTGATGTAGAGCCGGGCAACGGCGAACTCCTCCTCGATGGCCCCGCTCACCTCCACCGGCTGGCACGGCACGGCACGGCACGGCACGGGGCACAGGAATGGCACAGAGTGGGTATGGCACAGCATGGGTATGGCATGGCACAGCATGGCACAGGTGTGTACCGCACACAGGTACAGCATGGCATGGCACAGCATGGCACAACATGGCACAGGTGTGTACCGCACACAGGTACAGCATGGCATGGCACAGCATGGCACAACATGGCACAGGTGTGTACCGCACACAGGTACAGCATGGCATGGCACAGCATGGCACAACATGGCACAGGTGTGTACCGCACACAGGTACAGCATGGCATGGCACAGCATGGCACAGCATGGCACAGGTGTGTACCACACACAGGTACAGCATGGCATGGCACGGCGTGGCACATGGGTGTGGCGTGGCATGGCACTGAATGCTGCAGGCCTGTCCCAGGCACAGTGTGCCACAGGCATGTCCTGCACACGTGTGTGGCACGGGGATGGCACGCACAGGGGATGGTACACATGGGGCATGGCATGGGGATGGCGTGGGCAGTGCAGGGGCATGGCATGGCACCGGCAGCACAGCTGGCACGGGGTGGGCGTGACACTCACTGGGGTATGGTGACAGGGACACGGAATGGGCATGGGAGGGACACAGGATGGGCACGGCACAGCTGGGTGTGACATGGCACGGCTCTGCTGCGGGCACTGCACGGCACGGGTGGCACAGGCAGGGCAGGGACACCCCACACTCGAGGAAGGCACGGCAGGGGCACATCC